GACCTCCTCCCGCAAGTCGGGGTCCCGCCACCCGCCCCCGCTGCGGCCCTCTCGCCCGTCTCCCGCCCCTCAAAGCCACAGATCATCTTCGGATTCTTCCCCAGAAGCTTCAAGGTAACTTCGTCCCTCCAGTACCGGGGTTCGCCCGCTTCCCCGCTTCCTCCCCGTCTTCCTGGGTAGCCTGCGGGGCACCAGCCTCGGGAAGGCCTGGCCCGGGCAGGCGAGGAGTGCGGTGGGCCGGGGTGCGGGAGAGAGAGGAGGGCCCGTCCCACTTGTCTGATTTACCTGCAAATGCTTCGGACGGTGCCTCTCCCGCACTCTTCCCCCCTGACCGCTTTTCCCCACCTTCCGGCATTGGAGGCGTGTTCTCCGACCCCTGATCCCCCGACGGGGCGGGGAGGAAAAGGGAGATCGGGGTGGTGAGGATTCTGTGGCCGCTGATCTTCAGGGCTTGGGGCGGGGGTGGCTGGGAGCAAAGTGGGTCTGTGAGCTCTCTCTCCCGACGAACCTCTTCCCCGCGGTTCTCCACCCGCCGCCGCCTTTGGCTGCCCCCGAGCCTGGGACATGCCCGATGCCGAGAGGATGAGGCTGCGGGCGCCGCGGTCCAGGCGAAACCTGTTTCCCCGGGCTTCGCCCCGCTGCCGCTGCACGTTCAGTTCTGCAGCGCTTCAGGCTTGAGATCCTTGACGTCGATTCTTGGCCGCGGACATAAGGGCCAAGGGATTAAAAAAAAAATTTGCTATCAATAAACCACTTTTACAAGCGGAAGATGAGGAATAAAGAAGAGATAAAAAGAGTAGTGGAGGAGCAGGATTTACTGAAATAATTGGGTTGTTACGGTTAAATGAAATCTAAACAATTCGCATGCCAGATGGGAAAAGCGGCCCCTGAATTTACAGTGTACAAATATGATGTGGAAGCTTGTCGCTGATGCAGTCATTATGAAAAATTTTAAGTGATCATCTTTCTTCTGTGGTCATACATAGTTTACAATTCCATTTTGAATCTGTCACATATTACCTAAGACTAACAGATGAATTTCTAAAAACTTTTTTTTTTTTTAAAGAGAACCAGAATTTCAACCTTCAGTATCATATGGTGTTGTGTGCTTTTTTTGTACGTGTGTTTTTTAATGTTTTTGTTATTTTTACTTTGTCAGAAGCCAGGTTATTGAGATAACTTTTTATTCTTACAGGTTCAGGAAGAAACTACCTTACTCTTTCATTTAGAGATTAAAAAACATTTGTCTTAATGTTTGGAGTGACGGCATTTCCCCCATATACATTATTTCTATTCCAGTCTGCCATTAATCTTGCATGGAAATAATGGCATCTGTTTAAATTGTTGAATGAAATTGAGCTCAACACGTTACTTTCAGGAAATAGCCTTCATTTTAATAATTTGACAGGATTAAAAAAATCCAAAAGAACTGTTCAGTTTCATCAGTTTGATGGAATGAAAATTAATATTTGATAATGAACTTCAAGGGAACTCAGCTTGGTTGTCTAAGTGGGCTGTGAATTTAAGTTCTCATTTCAACTTTGGTGCATGATTTCATCATAGTTTATTAAGCTTTAATAACTTAAGATGCCTTCATTAAAAAAGATGTCTTTGAAATGATTTTAATTATGCCTTTTATGTGTTCTGTTTAAAGTAATCTAGCCTGTTCTTATTTGCAGTGTGTTGTAGTTTATCATAGCAAACACAGCCAGCACATTGCATTAAAAGTCATGCCTAGATAGTTTCAGTAATTGTAAATGTCACTTGCTGCGATACATTGGTGTGGATGCTTGAAGTAGCATACAGGTTTCAACTGCAGAGCCCATTCATAATATTAAATACCTTGGGAAAATGTATTAATGGAAGTTTTCCAGCTGCAGAGTAGTTCCAACATTACTTTAGGAATCTCAAGATGAGAAGAGCTTTGTAGTTAGAAAATAAGTAGATAGCATGGAGTTCTTAAAGTCTAAATGAGCATCTTTAATGCCTATCATAGCAGGAACAGCATAATACATTAGAATTACAGTATTGCATATATGGTAGTTATATTCTGTTTTCACCAAATTTTTATGTTTTCTCATTGAACATGACTTAGTTGATTTTATTTGCTTTATTACATAGTCCCATTTTCATGAATATTGTATATGAGAATTTTAGAATTTATGCAGCTCACATTTATGCTTTAGCCTTGGGAATATATTTATGTTACCTCTTTCTCTTCAGTAGGGATATGTCCTCAGCACCAACTACTCCTCCATCAGTGGATAAAGTAGACGGATTTTCTCGGAAGTCCGTCAGAAAAGCCAGACAGAAGAGGTCGCAAAGTTCCTCACAGTTTAGGTCTCAAGGCAAGCCTATTGAGTTAACACCTCTGCCACTGCTGAAAGGTAAGGCTCATGACCAGGTGATGGATTCCTTTTCAGTTGATCTTTCTAAAGCTATATATAATTTCCTTTTTGTAGAGTTTCATATTTGTTAAATTTTTGTGTCACAAATTGAGGGATGGGAGATTTCAGACTTGTTGAAGTTATTGGTGTGTGACCAGATACACCCTTTTTCCCTTTTAAAGGGCTTAATTTAATATAAATAGTTATGGATAAATGAAAAAAAAACTTTTTATCAGGAGGATCTCTCACATTGATAAGTAGGTAAATTGACTGCCAGAGAAAGTTTAAGATGTCTGGGTCTGTATTTTTCATTTGACATTTTGATGTACACGTTGTGTGCAATGATAATTTCAAATTGTACGGTCTTAATTACAGGAAGTAGACCTAATAGAGGAGATGGTACCATTAACTTACATATAAAAAATGATGTTTGAAAGATTTCATTTATAAAGATCAAGAAAAATATGGATAATGTAGTAATTGATTACATGCATTCTTGTTTTCAGATAGTACAAATATAAAGTATATGTGATGATCATACTTGTTTAATAATATTTTTCTCTTTACATTTGAATAAATTAAGGACTAGTTTTTTAATATGAACTTGTTTTTTTAAATTAGACCTTTCAACTTTTGTTTAGGTAGGTGGATACTTTTGGTTCCTTTTTAAAATTTTATCTGTTTGCTTTATGTTTATGAACAGGCATTGTTTGAAATGTGTTGGAACATAACATCTTTGTCACGCAATCTATCAGAATCTACCTTTTAAAGGTAGAGTTTTGTCTGCCTCACACTTAAGAGGGAAGAGAAAGGGGACATGCACAACATAAGGCACTATAGTGGCTTAGAGGAAATCAAAACCTGGTTTGCTAGTTCGTTCATGAACATTTATTTCTGTAACAGTTTGTGAAACCAGAAGTTATTATAGGAAAAACTAGATTGACTAGATGATCCTTAAAATTTAGCTTAGGATATTTTAAGCTTGTATTTTTTTCCAAGTGAACTTTTTTTTTTTTTAACGGAGGAAGATTTATAAATGGGATTCTAATATTTATACTTGAAATCAGTGGACACTAAATGAATACTGGTTATTGTAAAGATGGTATGTTTACCAGTTAGTAAAGATGAGGTTTTATGTTGGGAGGGGAGGGGAATATTCTGGCTAAAGATTTTGCTTAAAGAAAAAAAATAGTCTTTATGAAACTTAGGAAGAAAAATGAAGGAAAAACTCTAGGGATAAAATTAACCATGCTTGAAATACAAAGTTGGGAGGCATACATTGGATTCTTTAATTACTTATTTACTCTGATATCCTATATAATAAATGCTTATATGCTAAGTGTCTGGTCGACCAGTTGGCTGTTCAACCAATCGAAGTGTAATATGCTAATGATATGCTAAGGCTGCTCAACTGCTCGCCATAACATGCACTGACCACCTGGGGGCAGACAGTCACCCGGTTGACCAGTCGCTATGACATGCACTTACCACCAGGGGGCAGACAGTTAACCCGTCGACTGGTTGCTATGACGTGCACTGACCACCAGGGGGCAGACACTCAATGCAGGAGCTGACCCCAGCCTGCAGGCCTCAGGCCAGCCAAGGCAGGTGCCAAGTGGGGGTGGGGGACGGGGGGAGCCCCATCACCCTGCCGGGTGGGACACCCAGCAGAGAGAGGTGCCCTGCGGCTGTGGTGGCACCGGTGGTGAGTGGACGGCGCCAGGCGGGCCAAGGTGGGTGCCAACAGGGGGGGGGC